TCAGATGTGTCTAACTCGAAAAACAAATTTTTTCAAAAGTTGGTCAACGTCGAGAATCCTGCCTTTCCTATAAAATCAAAGTTTCGAATTTTCATCTGAAAGTTTGCCCATATTAAGGCCTCAATGAGACTAGCTAGTCTGCAAAGTTTTAGGAGTTTTGAGTAAATAATGTCTAAGGTATGGATTTACGAAAATATTTATGCATACATAATATCCATAAAAAAGGGTCTCCAGGATAAAACATTGATATCTTCGAGGCAATTTGTCGAAAATTTCTAAAACTTTACAGGCAAGCTAGTCTGATTGAAATCTGGGTGTGGGCAAAATTTCAGATGAAAATTTGAAACGTTGATTTTATTGGGAAGGTAGGGTTATACTAGAAAAAATTCTAAACTTACTAAAATGTCGATATCTGAGCCAAATTGCAACTTGCGCACATATCACTTTAGACTTTTTCTAGTCTATGTATGTCCTATCTATGAACGAATTTTGAGCTCAAAAGCTTTCTGTCACCTGGATGGTTCTGTCGTACGATAGGTTTATGTATTATCGTCAGTGATAATAAAACACAAATATGGCGGAATTTCATCAGTTTTCAATACATTTAAAGCAATACACTACATCATGTTTGGAATGAGAGGAGAGTGGTACGTTGTTTAGTACTGTCACATTCATATAAGCGATTAATGAGATATATAGGAATTGAATATTTAAAATTGAATTACTCATTAATTACAGATAAAAGTAACTTGTAATCATTGTTTAGGTTTGCCAATCGAATGTGCAAACCACAATGTTAGCGGTGATGCTACGCGTCGTGTTGGCTCAGGGAAAGGAAATCTTTGTGATCGTGATATGGTAGGGTGGATGCGTTTTGTCGATCGAGCGGGAACTGCCGTCGTGAGAAAAGCTCCAACAGGGCGTTGTGGTGGTTTGGATGCCGGATGGATACTTGGCGTCTATCCGACAGAACCTGGAGCAACGACACTCAGCACTTTGTGTTATGTCGACGAGATCGGAAATCCGTGTTCAACATCTAAACCAATTCGCACTACACATTGTGGTGATTTCTTAGTATTTGAAATACCTGCTCCACCAGATTGTCCTACACGAGCTTGTACAGAAGACTACACATTCAATTAAACATTACTCATATTATTGATGTCATATGTATTGACTAACCTTAATAATTACCTATTATATTTTCCTTCGTTTTTAAATACATCATATGGAGTGAAACCTACGATATTGTGACGTATGAGTATGATACATCAAACTCTACTTGTGATAAAGGGATGAAAGCGAACAACCATTTCCATGTAACTTTTACTTAATGACGACATTTTTTTTCCTTCAATTGCGCTTTAAATTATGTACATTATCGTCTCCAGCAGTAGAGGGCTGCAGGTTACGCTATTTTGACAACCTGTAACCTGCCCTGCTGAGATTTTGACAACCTGACCCTGCCTTGCCCTGAAAACTTTTTCGCGTATCCTGCCCTGCCCTGCCCTGTGAATTTATTTC